GGGATGGGGATAAGGATGGTGAGAGAGATGGGATGGAGACAACCATGGAAATAGGAGTGAGAATGGGAATAGGGTGGAAATGGATGGGGATTGGGATGGGATGGAGACTGAATGGGGATGGATGGGAAGGAAGTGGGTACAGAGATGGGAATGGGGTGGTGACAGAGACAGGGATGGGGCTGGAGATGGGACAGGGATGTGCACAAAGACCAGGATGGAAATAGGAGCGGGAATGGAGAACATGTGTGGACAGGGACAGGGATGGGCTGAGGATGGAAATCAGGATGAGGACAAGGTCAAAGATGGAAACAGGAGTGGGAATGGGAAACTGGATGGGGACAGGGAAAAGGACAGGCATGGGGACAGCTGTAGGTGAGAATTGGGATGGGAACGGGAGATGAAAATGGGAATGGGGACAAAGAGAAGGATGGGAATAAGGATGGGGACAGAGACAAAGATGGGATGAGTGGAAGTGACAGAGGGGATGAGACAGGGATAAGAACATGGATGGAGATAGCGATGGGATGAGGTCAGGCAGTGCTGGAGATGGAAATGAGGATGGAACAAGGAGATGGGATGGGACTGAAAATAGAGATGAGGATGAGGATGGGGATGGGGATGGGGATGGGGATGGGGAAGGGAAATGGAGATGGAGATGAGGATGAGAATGAGGATGGATATGAGACTGAGGATGAGAATGATGGGGATGGGATGGTAATGGGATGGGGATGGGACAGCAATGGGGAAAGGGATGTGATGGGGATGAAGATGAGGATGATGGGACAGGGATGGGGAGAAGGATGTGTTGGGAATGGAAATGGGGCTGAGGATGACAGGGATTGAACAAGGATGAGGAAAAGGCTGTGTTGGGTTGGGGATGGAAATGAGGCTGATGATAGGGGTGGGGGAAAAGATATGCTGGGCACAGAAAAAAGCCAAGGACAAGGATGAAGTTATGAATGTGCATAAGGCTGGCTCAGCTCCATGTCCCATCCTGGCTCTGGCCCCACTCCTGTGACATTGCCAGGTTCGAGGCAGAGCTGGCCATCCGGCTGTCAGTGGACGGCGACATCATGGGGCTGCGCAAGGTCTTGGATGACACCAACATGACACGGCTGCAACTTGAGGGGGACATCGAGGCTCTGCGTGAGGAGCTGATCCTGCTGCGCAAGGACCATGACCAGGTGGGTCTGGGTGGCTTGGGGAGCCTGGGGAGGGCATGGGACCCCAAACTGACCCACTCTGCTTCCAGGAAGTGCAGGACCTGCAGGCGCAGGTCTCACAGTCAGCGCTGACAGTGGAGGTGGATGCACCACGGTCACAGGATTTAGGGAAGGTCCTGGGGGAGCTGCGGGCTCAGTATGATACCCTGGCCCAGAAGAACCTGGAGGACCTGGAGAAGCAGTGGGGGCAGCAGGTGGGGAACCCAAAAAAAACCAAATCCCACCCCAAAATGGTCCTCAAAATGGTCCTGGGGGAGCTGCATATGCAGGATAATACCCTGGTCTTAAAACCCCTGGAGAACCTGGAGAAGTAGTGGGAGTGGGAGTGGGAGTGGGAGTGGGAGTGGGGCTGGCATAGGAGGTCCCCAAAGGAGCCCCACAAAGGGGAGAGGAAGGGGTGGAGTCTCCCCTGGGTGGAGGGGACTCCTGGGGTGAGCTGCTCTGGGAGGTTCCTTGTTGAGCCTTGGGGACACTTTCACGGTGGCCTCTGTCCAAGGGGGCCCAATTTTGGAGCCCATCCTAGGGGATTCCCATGATGTGGGACCCTCATGCCTGAGTCTGGCTTCTCTTGGGATGGTCTCATCACCCACATCTCCACCAGGACTTGGGGTGTCCGTGGTGGCTGGGACCAAGGCTGCTGTCCCCCAGACCCCAAGGGTGTCCCTGAGCCCTCCCAGACCCCTCCTTCCCCTCCCAGATCACGGAGACCACCCTGGAGGTGACACAGAGCACAAAGGACCTGGACGCAGCACGAGGCACTGTTGGGGCCCTGCGTCGCTCACTGCAGACCCTTGAGATCGACCTTGAGGCCCTGCGCAACCAGGTACCCCAAAATTCCCCAAACTCCCCCAAAAAACCCCAACTCTCCCAAATCCCTCAATCCACAGCCTCACACCCCCAACTCTGCCCACCAAAACCTAACTCCCTTCAATCCATGGCCCCAAAGCCCCAAAACCCTTCCAACCCCCAACCCATAACTCCAGGCCCCCAGAGGCCATTTTTAAGGTCCTGAGCCCCACCCACTAAACCCTCCAAATCCCCCAGAACTCAGGGCTGGAAGCTGCACTGCCTGAGGCTGAGGCTCGGGTCAGGGTGAACCCCCACAAGACTCCCTAATCCTCCCCTGATCCCCCCTGAACATGGGTTTGGGGGCTGCATTGACCAATCTTGGGGTGAACCCCCACAAAACCCCTTAGTCCCCCCAGAATGTGGGTCTGGAGGCTGTACTGGCTGAGCCCGAGATGACTCCCACCCCATTTTCATGGTGCAGATCCTCCAAACCCCCCATTTTAGGGGTAGTGACTCCCCCAAAACCCCCTACTTCCCCCCTGAACACTTGAAAACACAGATTTAGAGGCTGTCATGGTCCAGGCTGAGGCTCAGACTGAGGTGAACGTGCCCAAAACTCCCTTGACCCCATCCAATCCCCCAAGAATGCAGGTTTGGAGGCGGCGCTGGCTGAGGCCGAGGCTCGGGCCGGGGCTCACCTGGCGCAGGTGCAGCTCCAGGTGAGCGCGGCCGAGGCAGAGCTGCGGGACGTGAGGGCGCAGCTCCGGCGGCAGAACGAGCAGCACCGCGAGCTGCTTGGCCTCAAGGATCGGCTTGAAGCTGAGATCGCAACGTATCGGCAGCTGCTGGAGGGCAGCGACGGCTTCAGGTGAGCAGGGGGGAACTGGGGAGGGGCTCAGGTACTGGTTGGTTCAGGTGGGGGGGAAAGGAATT